TCCTGCTCCCCCCACCCAAGGAGTATCCTCTGCATCTCATCACCACACCCTAAGAACTAACGTTTACTCCTTCTCCCCTCTGCTCCATCCAGAGTCATCCAAGAAGGAATTGAGCTCAGGAATGTGTAGGGCAGGGGGAAGGAGATCAATAGTGAAGAACGCTTCCTAGGACAAGGTTCCCATGCACAGCAGTGGCTGTTTACACACTGTCCCATGTAATTATTAATCATGCCCCCGGTTCTTCCTGTGCTGGGGCAGGAAGGGGCAGGGCAGGGCAGGGCAGGGCTTAGGGATGGTATTGAACCCAAGTTTCTCCAGTGCCCTGAAAGTGAGCAGGCCACTGGGAGGTGGCTATGCATTGTGCTTATCACCAAGTACTCCAAGGCTCCCTAGAGAAGATGGTGTTTGTTAGACTTCATAGACTCCAAAGGACCAAAAAAAAAAAAAAAAAAAAAAAAAAAAAAAAAAAAAAAAAAGAAAGAGTACCAGATAAACACCCAGGATCCCTCTTATCAGAGGGGCCACAGGACAGGCACCAGGTTTAATCTCAGAACCACACCATGAACCAACGGTTTAGGTGCCCAGCCCAATGTTCAGTGACAGGCTGTTGGTGGAGACAGGCTGGGGACAGTGACACAGCCCATTTCTCAAAGCCTGTAGCTGCAACCTTCAGCTGGACCAGAACCTGGGGAAAGAATGAAGAGTCCTGGGTCCAGGGAGAAGGGAAGCATCATGATGTCTTAGACGCAGGCCTGCACATGGATGTGTGTATACATAGGTACATCTGTATATGAATCTGTATTCAAGGAGAGCCTGTTGACCAGGAGGAGCCCTGCAGGGGCTGCAATGGCAGCAAAGTAGTTAAGAGCATCATGGAAATCCCTTGGGGGCTTCCCAAGGGAGGGCTTTGGAGCCAACCCACATGATTGGTAGGGCATGACAGCAGGACATGGGAGCTGGGAGGCAGGAATCAGCCATACCAAGGAACACAAAGGAAGGCTTCCGTAGTGACAAACTCATAGAGAATCTGCAGCTGTAACTTCAGGTGGGTGGAGCTCACCTAGGGCTGGAGGGGAGGGAGGTGTGAAGTAGCAAACTGGACCCCACTCCACCCCCACTGGCCCAAGGACCGCCTGGTAGTCTGGCCTTCAAGAACCTGCCACAAAAGAAAATCCTCTCAGTTTTCCCATCTGCAGAGGCAAAGAAGGTCTTTAGTGACCCTCTTGGAGAAAGGCACAGAATGGGTATTTATGAGGCTGAGGGCAGGAGAGAGAGCATGGTCAGAGAGGCTACCTTCAGGCTATGGCCACCGCTGAACCCTCTCTGTGACCTCTAGGGCTACCTGAAGCTCAGATCGCTGCCCAACATAAAAGCCCTGGCCATATTACGCCTGGCTATGCCATTTACCCAACAACCCCCATCCTGCAGTGTGCATGAAGCAATCTCCATTATCACACATGCTTGGCATTTTTGCCTGATAATCACACCTCCCACAGCCCGGTGAGGATTAGGGCATGATTAGGGAGGAAGGAAAACTCTTTCGGGTGGAGCCAAATACCTGCCAAAAGATTTGGCAGCCCAATTTGATTGCCTCCTATAACTCTGAGGATGTCTGAGCGTTTGGTGGATGTGTTAGGACCCTGCACAGGGCTCACAGGACATATCCACCTTACCCATGCATGAGTTCCTATGCTGCCTTCCCTCCAGCAGCCCCCAGCTTCTGCCCTGAGTATCTGTTACATGAAGGGAAAGAGACCTAACACAGAACGCTAAGCAAGTCTCCTTTTCAAGGAAAGTGCCCCCGCACTGGTCCCATATGGGATCTTCATCTGCTCCTGACTATTGTAGAATATTAGTTGAAATATGTTACATTTATTTATGCTATGGAACACCTGTTTAATGATGCAAAGATGTGCTGTATCCTTTTATGTTTCAATTGTTTAACTCTGAAGCTGTGTTACTTTGCCTGTCTAAAACAACTAATTGGTCTACTAAAGAACTGAATGACCAATCGCAAGGCAGGAGAAAGAATAGGCGGGGCTGGCAGGCAGAGAGAATAAATAGGAGAAATCTTGGCACAGATGATCAAGGAATGAGAAAAGAAGGGGCCAGCCACCCTCGGATAAGAATCAAAGAAGAGATAGACAGAAATAGAGAAAGGTAAAAGCCCAGAGGCATAAGGTAGACAGGATCATTAAAGTTAAGAAAAGGCAGCTAGAAATAAGCCAAGCTAAGGACAGACTCCTGTGTGTTTATTTGGGATTGGGCGGGGGGTGGGGGGTGGGGCTCAAAGAGCCAAAGAGTAAAAACACAAACAAACAACTACACCTGACACTGGTCCTCTGGGAACCTCTGTTCACACTCGGCGAGGTAGACAGACATTGTGACAGGCATGGTCTATCTGGTCACACTGTACCTTCCATCTGGAATGGTCATTCATTCAATTATTCACGGGTGCTTTAAGGCCCAGGGTAGAAGCTTCCTCCAAGAAGCTTCTTCTGTGTCCACTGGAGAACCTGGCAAGAAGCATCAATCGGGCCCTCACAATGTGCTGGGACCTGTTCTAAGTGCTTTGGTGTGAGAACTCACTTCATCTTAGCTAGAATGCTGTGTGGCTGCCATTTCACACACAAGACACCAAAGCTCAGCAAGCTGAAGTCAAGTGCTTAGGGCTACATATAGGTCGGGTGGATGCTGGGCAGCATCTTCTTCCCAGACCTACAAGGAGAGTTCCTTTGTAGCCCCCTGTGCTTCATGAAAATCACAAGCTCTGTAGCTTGTGATTTTGGACTGGGACTGGTCCATCAAATTAGAATGCAGATGTCTTTTGAACGGGGCTGGGATGGAGCCTGGATGAGAGACTCCCAGCAGTGCTGCTGCTCTGAAGATCACTCTGAGTAGTAAAGCAGGCGGCACCCAGAACAGGGAAAAGTCCTGAGGGCACATGACAACTAGGTCTCTTCACTCTTAGCAGATTGGAGGCTCTGCTGTCCATTGGCCATTGCTGATCCCATCCCTGTGATACAGAGACACTGGGGGCAATCAGGCCAAGTCTGAATGACCCCTTACCCTAGGACATCTCTAAGCCCCAGCCTAGTTCTGACCCCTAGGAACTCCTGCTGTCCCGGTCCCTGCTCTGTGTGGCACTCAATGGGAATAGAGACAGTGTCCTACACTTGTGGCCATGAGTGAAGGGGATCAGTTTGAGTGCTCCAGTTGGCAAGGGTGTCTTTGTATAGAGGCATCAGCTGCAAGGACAGTAAGAAATTTGTCTTTGCTCCTAAGACCAAGTAAGACAGACCTCAGGACAATTCCTTGAAAGCCTGCTGTGAACTGCAGAGTGTGTCTCCAAGTAGAGGAGTAGACAGAACTATGGACCCTTAACACACACGTATGTGAGTATTAAAGATTTTAATACAGATTGGAAGAAGGCTATGAGCCACAGAAGCCTACCCGCTTCATCCCTAGAAAACAATGTGCCCAAATGGACAATGCCCACTTGTGATGGAAGGAATAGCCGTTGAGTCACCCGGGGAAGAGGTATGGAAAAAGCTGAGGCACTGAGCACACAGCCAGAGCTGATCCAGTATGTACAGGCAAAGCCATGTAGGGTTTCATCTCGCTCTCAGGTGGAGTTGAGAGAAAAGACTCGGGTGTTACACAAAGGGGATGGGGAGAGGTTGTCCCCCACAGAGGAGCTAGCCTACCCTAAGCAGTGGGTAGGGACACACATGCATGCACATGTATGCACGCACGCGCGCGCGCGCGCACACACACACACACACACACACACACACACACACACACGAGTCTAGAACAAGACATCCTGAGAAATGAAGGAGCCAGACCTATCTGGAGCCAGACCACTGGAGACAAAGAGCAGCATCTAGGATCTGTCTTTTCTGGAAGAGCCTATACAAACTACACCCCTAGAAAACAACAAGCCCATGTGGACAATGCCCACTTGTGATGAGGCATAGCCTCACGCGTTTGGTTCCTACAGCGCTGAGAGGGTAATGGAGAAGGTTTTCTGGCTTCAAAGTCTGGGAGTGGTGGTACCTGGCTCTGCTCACCTTCCACTCCAAGGCATCATTGGAGAATCTGCATTTGGGCTCCTAGAAAAGCAAGCTCTGTGTTTTGTTGGGTTAAACTTCTGCAGCAGTGCTGGGAATTGTTTGTTTTCTCTAGCGCTGCCAAAGAGCCCCTGGCAAGGAGACTAAGTGGGTTTCATTGAAAAGATACTTTTCCTCCCCAGGCCGATAAACAAGGCCACTGCAGGGAAACCAACTTCCTCAGTCAGGCACTCTGCAGCTGCCCATCCCTGGCCAAGGAAAACAAATGCATAAACATTTCAAGGAGATATAGGAAGCATTTCTACTGGGAACCTGCTGTGAATGGCCACTAAAGTTTACACAGCAAGCCCCAAGGGAGCTCGGTGGAGGACACAGCCATACCCGCCCTCCCATTCTCCTATGGCATGGTTGGCTCCTCCCTGTTCCCCCAAAGATCTGTAGTTGGGAGGGGACACAGTATGTGCCTGAGACACAGAAACATAAGGCAGACTCTGTAGTTGTTTCCACCAAACCACCAACTCCCCAAAGGAGGGGGTCTTTTTACAGTAGAGGACACAGCCCTAGAGCAGCTGGGCTGCTAAACCCCATGGGGACAAATGGAGGCCAAAGATGGCTGTCGTGGAGCAACTCCATCTCCTGTATGCGTCTCCTGACCCCTGTGTGTAAGCATCCATCTCTTGGTGGCCCCTGAGCTAGGGGTGGAGGCACTTGAAGGCTTTATCATTATTTTGGTCCTAGTTTCTTACCTGGATAGCCACATGACAGGGACTTTGAGGACTGGAGCTTTGCCTCTAGGTTCCTCCTGTGAATTGCTACAAGTGGCCCTGGACTCTGGTTTTGATCAGACACTCCCTCCCGTAGTTCTTCCCTGGCCTCCCAGCTGCTGTATCACACTCCTTGATGAAAGCCATAGGATATACACCGATGTAGCAAGTGAAATTCAGAACATACCATTTTCCCATCCAACCCGTCTCCTTACTCTGCAGTGTGAGTTCTTCCACAGCCCTGCCCACTCACAGAGGCCAAGTCCACACTTCATCCCTCTTCCATCTTCTTTGCTCACATGCATGGCTAAGCTCCCTGGGTAGCTTTCTATTTGCACCCATTACAGCTTCCTCCTAGGCCCAACCCATCCTCGTGTGGCCTCACAGAAGCAGATAGCCCCGGCTTGGGTTTTCTAGGAATTGGGCTTCTCTTGGACAACAGACTATGTAGCTTGTATCTTAGACTATGCTGCTTCTGCAGAGAACACAGAGACCAGGGAACCTAGACAAGGACAACCCTGAGGCAAAGGGCAGGGCTTGTCCTCAGATCTTGGCTAGGAGATACTTTGCCCCCTTGGAGGGCCTCCACCTCCCTGTCCCACCTTAGCCATGGTGGGAGCAGACCTGTGGCCTCCTCACACCAATGAACCACAAAGTCTTGGCCCTGGTCATAGGCTTGACTTTTGCTTTATGGAAGCTGTAGCAACAAGTGTCCAATATTCCCAAGGCCAGCCACACCAGAGGCCCTGGAAAGAAGGCTATCCAGGAGGAATGCAGACGAAAGGCAGAGTCTTTGATGGCTTTCCTGTCTTTGGCAGTCACAGCTGTATGGGGAGGGAACCTCAGCAGCACACTGGGCCCTACCACGGCCCCTCATGGAAGAAACTGGAGGCTCTGCATGCCTCTGTGGCCATGCAAACTCAGTCAGGAGGACTCCTCTAAGAGACTAGCCCCTAAGACCTGGGGTCCAGGGGTCATCCCATTGATGAGTGCTGAAATCATAGCGCTTGATGTATCCAAGGGTCACAGGATGGGGTCCGAGCCATTCCAGTTCACCGATGCCCCCTTCCATCTATGAAAAGAGTGACAGGACAGTGTTAGAGCTGCAGGGGCTCGGGAAGGAGGCTTTGAGGCTCCAACCTGCCCAATAGTTTTTCACACTCTCACCCAACCTAAACATCCATATGGCATGTAGAACAGACACCCAGGACCTGGGTAACAACAGGGAAGACAGAGGAGACAGGCAAGTTGTCTATTTGTGCCACAGCTGACTGTACCTGGTGCTGGCACAACAGCTTTCTAATGATTTATCTCATCCAAGTAAATCCGACTCAGTTTTTGTCCAGCAGTGCCTGACAATGGCCCTTAAGGGGCACCTGTTAGGGTTAGGGAAACAGATATTCTGTGTGTCCGAGGTCCAGGAGAGGAGTCAGAAAGGCAGGGAGAAAGATGCAGAGGAGGCTGGAGAGCTGAAAATAGATGGGGCATTTCTCCTTGTGCCGCAGGAGCTACTGAGGGCTGTGAGTTCCACAGGAACAAGATGGGTTTTGAAACCTGACTTACAAAGCTTAAGAAGAACAAGTAGGTGAATGGTAGTATCTCAGATCCAATAGGACAGTTATTGTAGGTGAGATGAGGGCATTTCCTAACACCTAATTCTAAGCTGTAGAATTGATTTTTTTCAAACAATTGATGGGAATCTTTTTACAGCAAATGGAGAATCCATGCAAATACCACTGGAGTTGTCTGTCTATATATGCATCCTTAAACAACATGAATTAGAATATGGGTGTTGCCAGGCAGCACTGTAGGGCAGAGTGGGAGACTGGGGCTTAACAATGTTTCACAGCGAATGAAGATTATTAGAGGTACCCAACATCATGTTTTCAAATCCAGAGGTCATCAAAATCCTAACTGCCACAGGCAAGGGAAAAAGAGAAGCTGTACTTGTTTTAATTTAGTGACTCTCTGGAAAAGCATAAACTCCCTAGACGGGAGCTCCAGCAAGAGAGAAAACAGGTTCACTCAGGGTCACGCTGCAGTACTGCCCAACCGAATGATTGGGAGCAGGAGGCCCTATCCACAAACATATGACAGGAATCTGAAATGCCCCCCATAGGCTCATGGTTTGAGTTCTTGGTGATGCCATTTTGGAAGGCTGTGGAACCTTCCAGAAGTGACGTCTCTGGTAGTAAGTCTCTGGAGATGATACCCAGCCCCTGGCTCCCGTCAGACCCAGTTTTCTGGTCTACCATGATGTGAAAATCCTCTGTAACATGATCCCTCCACTAAAACCAACTGCTTTACCATACATGTCCTCACCACCCAGATGGGCTGAACCCCCAAACCATGAACCTCTATGTTGTTTCTGTTAGATACTGTGGTCACAACACTATGATCACAACTCAAACACACTGTTTTCCCACCCACAGATTCAACCATCTGTAGATCTAGAAATAGCAGCAGCAAAAATGCACCCTCCCACAAGCCAAGAAACTAACCTGTACTAAACATACACAGGCTGACTTTTCTTGTCATTATTCTGTAAACAATACAGTATAACATGTGTTTACACATTAGATATTATAAGTACCCAGAGACTAAAGTACACAGAAAGATGTGTGGGCCATTTGTAAACAGTATGCTAACTTATAGAAGATATTTAAGCATCCTCAGATTGTATATCCTCAGGTGGTTCTGAAACCTCCCATTTTTATGGAGTGACACATGAATGGTTCATCTTGGGCCCAATGTCCCTCGCCCTTAGTAGCCCATCCTCCAACTCAACTCCTACTTCCTTCCTCAGAGGCTGCTCTTTGTCCTCTCCAGCTCTCTGCACTGCTGCCTCAGTGTCTCTAGTTTTTAGGCTGGAAATTAGACCACTCCAGAGGTAGCAGGAGTCACACTCACTCTGTCTTTTAACTCCCCTTCCTATAGGTTATAAGCAGCTTCTTGGTAGACATATACACTGTATTTCCCCTGTTCATCTTTTCTGTTTTACACCATCCCATTTCCCATCAAAGAAACAGAATTCTTGTCATTTGGAAAATAACAACAAATCTTAGTTACAATTCTGTGCCTCTTTCTCCCATTGAACACTCCAGTGTGGAAGACAGAAGTTGCACATAGGCACAGAGGACAACTAACATTACATTCTAGCCCCACCAAGGCACAACAAGGACAAGATACACTTCCCAAACCACTGAGAATGTGAGAATGGCATGTGTCCTAATGTGTACCCTAGTCAATGTTCTAGCAAATAAAAAAAAAAACAACAAAAAACAAAACCAATCTACTTAAAAAGGCGAGAATAGGTAGGTAGGGAAAACCAGCTTCGGCATAAATATTATTTTGAGGAACTGCTCCTAAAATTCTGTGTTCTCTCTGGTGTCATTTGGTGGCACCCAGCAACATTGATAGAGCTCACCCCAATGGGGTCATGCAGCTTTCCAGGAGTGGATCCTTCACTGTCTGCAGGAGAGGCATTTGGTTCTGTTTTGGTCACAGTTCTCAGAAACAATTGCAAAAGGAGGTCTTTCCAGAACCAGTGCTGGCAGAATCACCCTTGTAGGATCCAGCCTAACCTGTGCTGGAAACAAATGCCAATACACTCTCACATTCACCATTGCCTGCATCTTTCCTAGTCATCAATGAGAGAATCCCAAAGGTTGGTCTCTTAGTCTATGAGATGGGGTTGAACTGGGTAGCTCAGTGATCTCTGTCGCTCTAGACCACTTCCCAAGCTTCTTATGTATCAGGTAGAGCCAGGGGACTCTAATCAGGTTTGTCCACTTACATAGAACACACCCTCTTTGATGGAGGGCATCCACATTGTACCATTCCACTGTCTGAGTGGTAGACTTGGCCACAGTGCCGGTGGACAACTTGATAGAACTTGGAGAAACTGACCATTATATGAGAAGCCTTCTGTTGGTAAGATTTAGGGGTTGGAATCTCATCAAGTCCCAGGGGAGGCAGCATAGGTCTATGAGCAAGGGAAACGGCCCCGGCTGTGACTGGCACACTGAGCAGGTATGGATGGGGAGGCGCTGGGCCCAGGTTCTGAAAGCAGGCTGATCTGCTGCAGATACTGAGTTAGTAATGATTCAGAGATCTGTAACAATATAATGCTATTTGAAATCTATAATCATCTCTTGCTGATCACCTTTGTAGTCCAGAAAGTACCCCACTAAAAGTCCTTTATTGTTCTAGTAAGAATTGTATATTAGCATCAAAGTCTTGAGTACCAAGAACACATCTTAAGGGCCCAAAGAGATGACTCAGTAGGTGAGAACACTTGAGTACTCTTCTGGAGGTCCTGGGTTCAATTTCCAGCACTCACATGGTAGCTCCCAACTGTAGCCCAGTAGGATCTGATGCCTTCTTCTGGTGTATAGATGTACATACAGACAAAACACCTACATATATATATATATATATATATATATATATATATATATATATACTCTATAAAAAAAAAAAAAAAAAAAAACAAAACGATGACAGAAAGGAGGCACAATGGAGAGTGACGGATCTGCCCTCAGCCTGGTCCCCAAGGTCTACACTGCCATTCTCTTCATATCCACTCAACCCCAGATTCTGCCTTCCCCATGAACAGGCAAACCTAAGCTCTCGACAGACAAAATGGGGTTTGGCTTCAGTGCACGGTGAGTCACATGAACATCTCTCTGTGTCACACCAGTCATGGAGCCTCATTGGCACACTGCTAGGTCTACAGTTGCTTTTGAAGCCATTCACAAGGAAACCAGCCCTCCCATCCCAGCCAGTTGCAAAGGCAGTGGAGAGAAGCACTTTGCTATGGTATGAGAAATCAGAGCCTTCTGAAATATGTAAAGGGCTGAGCAGGACAGTGGATCCGCATGGCCTAGAGGAAGAAGAGCTTTGAGAATGCTACAGCAGCAATGAAGGACGGCAGAGAAGTGAACAGGTGAGAGGGAAAGGTGCCTAAATGTGCCGCAGGAGTCAATGGCCAGGCTGCCATCAGCAGTAACTCAGGAGGCAGACACACAGTCCACTTCAAAGCAGCTTGGCACTGGCTAATTCTGGGGTGGGAGCTGTTCTGTTCACTATGGACATTTTTGTGCCCTTCCCCTGAATATAATTGCTGAAAGTGTTTCAAGACTGCCAAATAATCCCAAAGGTGAAAAACCACCCTACCAAGGACCACCGACTTAGTAGTTGAGCTTTGAGCTCAAAGTCAATAGCAACATCACAGAGAGGACCATGGCATGCGGATAGCCCCTCGCCAGCCTCAGGGCAATCACGGCCTTATTTATAGTCAGCTCCAGCCTGAGTGATTCAGACCATGGCCAAACCTAAAGGACTACATATAGGAAAAGAGCCCACATGAGGCAGCAGCAAAAGGCAGGCAGGCCTGGTTTCAATGCTCCAGATTGCTGAAGACATACCCAGGGGTCCTTTTGCTGGCCTTGCTCTTCCAGACAGCCTGTGCACAAGTTTCTGTCCCTTGGGCCATCCTGAATCAGATGTGGGTCTAAAACTAGCCCTACAAACTCCCTGCCACCTGTGTCCTTGGCCAGTCCTCCTCCTGGCCCACCCAACCTTCTCTAGGCTCAGATCCAGGCCCCTTGCAGAAGAGATATGGCTTGGAGGTGGCTCTCAGCATTTGTGCTAGGCTCAGGAAAAGGGCTGATATCACCTGTCACCCAGAGTTCTGAGGTATAGGGAAACTCCTCCATCCCAGCTCTTGTCTTATACATCTACTCTGGATCTCACTCCCCTCCCCCCTCCCCCGACCCACACACGGAAACCCAGGTCTTTATTCACTCTTTACATGACTCAACATGCTGTCCTGTACTCGACTCCATGCCTTCTCCACCATCCAATCCCTCTCCTGCCTGCCTTGCCCTCCGTGTTCAGAGCCCCTTTGTAAATGTCAGGGAATTCTTCCGTGGTTCTACTTTGTAACTTACAGCAGCTTGGCAAAGAGGGCAGACAGATGGGCAGAACTGAGTTCAGGAGGACAAACTAGACATACGTGACAAGCCAGGGCAGAACGAGAATATGCAGACAGCAGTACTCAAGAGTGTGGTTGACACAGACAGCAGGATGCCAGGGAGAACTCCTTCTGTGGCTAAGGGGCACTGTAAATTGGGATCCCAGGCAAGGGCATCAGCAGGAGGAACGTGGGGTACATAGGTGGGTAGGGCGTCCCTGAGGGAGGTGGGTGCTCTCCCAGGCCTCAGAGACACTGACCCTGGCAGGAACCAGTTTGCATCTCTTGTCTGAGCCTCCAAACAGAAACATCTGGGCCCTAGCTCCAGGCCCGGTTATGAGCTCTTTCCTCTCCTCGCTGGCTTGGCGACAACTGTTTCATTTTTCTCTCACTCCAGTGAGGATGGAGGCCTGGGAGAGGTCAGCGTGTGCTGTTAGAAATGACCCCCAAAGAGTCTGGTTTGGCTGGTGTAGTTTCAGAACAATGGCGGGGGGGGGGCGGGACAAGAGATGGACCCCACATTCCTGATACAGCAAAGGCAACAAGAGACCCTGTGGGGCTGTGATGTACATCACACCAAAGAGCAGGCACATCACAGAGGCCTCTGGGTGTTTCTAATTAGGATGCTCTTCTCTGAAGGCAGAACCCAGAGTCAGAGCTTGTGCAATGCCTCCGTGACAACAAAGCCAGGTGGCAGGAAATCACACTGTCTGCTCAGTGACCTACCACTGGGCTGGAACAGTGAGAGTCTAAGCCTCTGTTGACTCAAAGTGACCGGGAAACCTACACCTCCCCATCTATAAAGAAAGGGCTAGATTGAGGGGTGTCTACTGTGGACTAAGCCCATTGCCAGACGGCCAGATATATAGTAGGTATATCTTATAGAGCAAGGCCAGGCTTAAGGAGAAGAGATCGTCCTCCCTTGGGTTTGATCAGGGTCGAGTCTGAACTTGACTTCCATTTGATTGAACTGAGAGAGGGAACTAAGTCTTATCCAGCTGTTTCTTCTAAAGAATCAAGGCCAGGGCTTCCACGAGAGCTGGCACGATGAGAAGGAAACTGCACCTATCACTAGGTGCTCCAGCTAGCCACTCTTCTCATACATGGACAGGATGATTTTGAACATTCGGCTACATCTCACCAGGCATTTGAAATCTGACTCTGATTTTGGCAGTGGCCCAAGAATTGGCTATGGCACCATGTGTAGCCTAAGGCAGGTCTACAGGCAGCAGGATTTGTCCCTTCACCTCAACCCCATAGCCAAGACTATATTCCAGCAGGTCCTCACAGTGACCTCAGAGGCCACTTTCCCAAGTTCTTCCTTTGAGCTGCTTGAGAATCTGCAGCAAGAACAAAACACAAAGCCTTTGTAATTCAATCCCTTGGACTAAGATTCCTGGTCTGCTGTTTCCCATTACAGGGGCATGTTATCTGATGAATCGAGGGGACAGGGACTGGACCATTCCACTCTTCACTCACCCACTCAGCCTTCTGGCAATAATTCTGGGAAAAACTCTGGGAAAGAGCTCCCATGGTAACTGGCCAGGTAGACCCGCCATGGCAAATGTAGTGAGAAAGTAGGGCAGGCAAAAACCTGGTGTTAGGAATAAGTTCCCTGACTTCTGGTTATCATTGGTACCTCCCTTGGTAACTGACTTACAAAGGCAGGTTCACAAGGCAAAAGGACACAGATGGGGCTGGAGAAGGCCCTTAGCCACCATTAAACAGCACTTCTCAAAAGTAGTTCTAGGGCCTACAGAGATGGTTCCACAGTTAAGAGCAATAATGAGGACCAGAGTTTAAAACCCAGCACCAGGTACTAAGTCAGGTACCCCACACATGTCAGTAGCTCCAGCTGCAATGGGAGCATTGCTAGGGCTTGCTGGCCCCTAGACTATCCAAGGAAACACAAGCTCCAAACTCAACGAAAGATCCTGCCTCAAAGAAATTGGGTGGAATAGAGGGATACTTCCTGAGCCAAGACACATGGGTGGGCCTAGGCCCTATCCCAAAGGATATGATAGACTCCGATGACACCCTATGGAAGGCCTCACCATCCAGGGGGAGCAGAAAGGATATGTGATAGGTAGGGTTTTAGTTGAGGGGGGGGGTAGGGGAGGTCGGGAGGGAGAAGGGAACTGGGATTGCCATGTAAAACAATCTTGTTTCTAATTCAAATTAAAAAAAAAGAAATTTAATGGAATAGGGGATTACCTGATGTCTTCTTTCAGCCTCCAGAGTATGTATTAATGCTCACACATACACACACACACACACACACACACACACACACACACACACACACTGTAAACACAAATGAGTGAATTACTATTTTCTTAAATGGTCCTAGGGCTATAGCACCAGTAGCAGCTAGGAACTGCATCGAAATTCACATCCTCAGGCCTCATCACCACAGAAGCCCAGGTTGGCCTGGAGAGTTCAGTTCTAGCATATTCTTCAAAGGAAGCGGATGTCTACAAGCCTAAGGACCTAAGATATGGGGCAAGACTCCCCGGTGAGTAATCCAGAACTCACATGGCTTCCTCTAGTCTTCCTGGAGCTGGATGGGGTCTGGGGACTCATGTCCCTAACTCTGTATGCTATACAAATGGTGATATTTCTCTCTGTGACAAATACTGGAAAGCACTTCTGAAGATGCCAGGGCTCTGTCTCATTTATGCCCAGGACAGAGAGCAGAAATGAGTGATGGGTCAGAGACAAAAGCACCAGCAAAAGAGATCCAAGGCCACCCTTGACGACTCTGAACAGATCTCAGCAAGCTGAAGTCAAGTGCTCAGGGCTACGTATAGGTCAGGTGGATGCTGGGGCAGCATCTTCCTCCCAAACCTACAAGGTGAGTTCCTTTGTAGCCCTCTGTGCTTCATGAAAATCACAAGCTCTGTAGCAGAGCATTTTGGACTGTAACTGGTCCATCAAATTAGAAAGCAGATGTCGGTTGAACGGGGCTGGGATGGAGTCAGCCAACTCAGGGCAAGAAGCTACCTCAAGGCAGGCCACTCTCAAACAACCGCCCAACAGACTGAGCTCAGGAAGCCCAGTCAAGACTCGGGGCTGCTTGGTCAATCAGGAACAATCTATTGTCAAAAGAGGGTAGTGAAGAGATTAAGGGTTACTTACGACTGGTGGGGAGGGTACAAAGAGAAAGTCTAAAGAAGATATCAAGGAGCAACCCAGTGGTCTGGGAGGGTAGAGGCTGTGCCTAGAGGGCAGTTGGGGCCCTTCTCCTTCAGAAAGGTCACCCTGTGGCCTCCTATACTAGCCTGTACCAAGTGCCAAGGCCAGTGTCACCTTCTTTCCCCTTCAAAGCCCTTCACTCAACACCTTGAATGAGTGGCCCTTTGTACTTGAAAGGACAGCGACCTGCATGTGCCCCTAATCCTCTGATGGAAACAGCCAGCCTATGACCCCACAGGAATGCTGTATCCCTGTCGGGGAGGGCAGGGAACTGGCACAATGGGGATGTGCCTGGAGCCCTCCCACTTCCTCTTCCTGATGCTGCCACAGTGCCAAGGCAGTCCCTGCTCTCTTGCTCAGCCCTGCTCCAAGGCTTGCCTGCAAGGGGCAGCCTGCATGGACCCCAGGTATGCCGCATGTATCTCAGGTGGTCAGAATCTCAGGACCAGGCAGTGACTCTGGCCCCAGCCACTTCCAAGTCAGGGAAAGAGATTCCTCTTGAGACAGCACTTGTGATGGCGACAGTGAAAGCGAATGCTGGAAAGCTATCTATGTGGGCTACAGGCTACCATTATCCCCACTTTACAGATGACAGAAGTCCTGTGTATCACAGCCAGCCTGCATGCAGCCTGGCTCCAGAACTCATGCTCAGAACCACAATGACCTGCACTACATCCCTTGAAAAGCAACCAGAACCCCATCTCCTTCCCAAGATGTTCCTCACTGCTTCCCTACTACGTGCCAAGGACTCCTAGTCATCACTACGGAGTCTGAGAAGAACCGGCCAAGTGAACCAGAGGGTTTACCAACGACAGCTCACAGGCTCTGCAGAACACAGACCCAGCTTGGGGCACAACAAAACGCTTAGGAAGAAAGGGATGGGCTTTTCCCAACACTAGCCTGGGTGGCAACCTTCCCTGAATGCAGAGTCTGGATGAGGTGTCAAGGATCTACCCAGTGCCTTGGAGACAGGAACAACTCTTTCAGTGTTCAGACTGGCTATACCACACAGAGACTGCTGTTGTTGGCAGCCACCCCACCCCACACCAGGCCACCTCCCCTATACACACCTGACCACCCCATGCCCTCCCACCCCACCTGGCCATCCATGCCCTCTTCCAATTCTAGTCTATTTTCCAGTTCCTGCAAAGCAAGCAAACTAACCCTTGGCCCATGCAGACACCTGCCTAAGTAGAAGCCCCCAACCCAGTGTCTTATCAGCTGTGTGGTATTAGCCGACCCCACCCCTCTCCATCAGATCACACAGGAAGCTGTTTGTCTTTGTGTCTGCAGGCCTAACATCCCCAACCAATGCACACCCTAGCCTCAGGATGGGTTTTACAGTAAAGGGGGCCCACTCACTTGGTTCTGATGCAGAGCTCAAGGGGAGGGACAAGGTCTCTGCAGCTGTCCTCGGGACTGGTCTTGGTGGTATCTAGGGAGGAGGGAGAAGAATGCACTCACATCATCTCAGGTTCTGCACTCACCCTGAGGCTGGTACAGGCGGCTCCAGGGGGCCCGCCCAACCCTTTGAGTACCAAGCACTCATTTCCATCTCAACTGCAGCCACCCTCCTTCTTGGTCATTGATTCTTACCTAGACAGTACACTGGCCTCGCACACCCAGCCTCCACCAAACCCATGCCCTACTTGAGTTGCCACAATATTGTTTTTTCTGAAAACACATGTGGTCTCATTGTTCCTCTGCTCTAAAACCTTCCATGACACCCGACTTCCTTAAAAGCAAATCTAAACCTATCAGGAAAGCTCTCAGGGCACCTGCATATGGTCTTAACTTCACCTTCCACCTTTTGAGTGCTCAAGGCCCATCCCTGGCCCTCTTTTGCAGGATGGCTAGCATCACTCTCTGGCCCCCATGAGTAACCCCAGAAGGCATGTGAAGGCTGGTTCTGGAGCAGCCTGGGGGCTCCCTGAAAAAAAGACAGGTGAGGGTGTCTCACCAACAGTCAGCCGAATTTCCTCCTGCTGGTTGGCCAAGCCATCATAGTAATACAGGTCAAAGAGTCGCTCAGTCCTCCAGTCAGACAAGAGCTCTGGCTGTAGGCTGAAGAGGATGCTGAAGTGGCTCTCGCTGCACACCACCCAGATGGGGAACCTCGGCGTCTTCAGGAAGCAGCCGACCTGAAAGAGGGGAAGACCTGATGCAATGTGCTGACCAGCCGAGCTGAGGCTGACTTCCAAGACAGGGCTTGATGTGATGCTAGAAACCCCTCCTGCTGCCCAGATCCACCTTCTAGGGCTGGCTACGTCGCAACAAAGACCTCAGGGAATTCACACATCCATGCCATAGTACACAGTACTCTAACCCTCTTTTCCTCCAGTCTTTGCCACACCTCCTAACTGATTCTTGCTGTACTCCTCATAGCTACTAAGCTCGCCAACCCCGGGACCTTCCCATTCTTTGTCTTCCCTTGGGAAAACTACATCACCCCAACTTCTCAGTCAGTGAGCAGGCATCCCTGCCTCCTTCTGGTTCTCAGGGGCATGTCACTGAGCAATTGCCCCCTCAAACACAGCGCCATAGTCTGTCTGTCTACATGATGACATCAACACATGTGCCCTACCAAGAGCCTGCCCAATGTGTGACAAATAGTTGAAAAATGAAGGCCCTCAGGACCAACGATGGACTGCAACTAGAATTGCGCACTGAAGACAGTTAGGATCGGGGCCCCTGGGGAGCCAGGAGGGAAAGGTACGAGTGAGCAGTCTATGGTGTCAGGGTGAATGCCTGAGAAATTCAGGGCGCAATGGGCTGTTTGGTGAGGAAGCCTGGAGGATGAGGCCAGGGCAGCACCAGAACATGGAGCAAAAAGTCTCTCTGCAAGTCTCCAGCCAGGGACTCTCATGGCTGGCTAAGGATACATGGGGACAAACCAGAGACCCCAGCCCACTGGCACACTGCTTCCTGCAGAGATATCCTATTTATGACCCCTTAGGTAGGCCACCGGCTACACACTCTTCTATGAGTGCCCCAGGTGGCACTGGACAGTACGAGTTTATTCAGCTATGTTCAGCTGGTCCCACCTAATCCGAAGCCTCCCCCAGGAGATGAGATATTTGCTCGTCAGGTGTTTACAGCCTCTGTTGTGGATTAAGGAAAGAATGGGAGCTATTTTTCCAATGGGGAGAAGGGCATGTTTGCTCTAGGGCCCACCACACAATTGTGAGGCAGCTCCCACTTCAGAGGTGATGCTGGAGGTGCCTGGGACAGACGGGGTGCTCTTAGAATGTCCTCCATGAAGGACTCACCTATTAAAGTGGAGAGAAGGAGGACCATGTTGACCAAGTGCTCAACCCTGTGTGCTCAGCCCTGTGTGACATTGAAGCAAACTCTCTCTGCTCAGCTGTATGTGTCACCCAAATGGACTGCAAGCTTGCTCCTTCTGAGCTTGGTGCATTTGGGCATGCCTGCCTCCTGCCTATCCCTACTATAACCTTAGCTTCCTTTCTGTGCTCCAAAGAGGTTTTTCTTGGGAAGCAGGGCCTGGAACTGTACTTACTCAAACAGGCAGGGAAGGAGCCTCAAGCCAGCCATGGGCAGGCCTGGACGCCATCAGCTCCTGAATTTTCCAAAGGAGGAACAGAGGGCAGCTTGCCATTTATAAACAACAGTCAAAAGATTAAGAGCAAAACACTGCCCAGAGGGCTTAGAAATGAGTGGACTCATTCAAAAGCTTTTCCACTAGGAGACATTTTCCAGAGAAACTTCCTTAGGGGTCTTGGGCAACTGGGTGTGCCATTCCCTTAGTGCCGGCCAGGTTCTCTCCTGGGGGCCATGCTGCACCATCACAAGTTGCTTTTGTTTGCTTTTATTGTTCTGAACTTTTAAACTTATTTTTAGTGTTGAGGAATAAACTCAGGCGATTGTGGTGAGCCTGGGCCCTGCCACCGAGCCACACTCCTAGCTCCTGAGATTTTATTTTAATGCCATTCAAATTTTTCCCCATGGATGAGTATACATCTATACTATGAGTTATGACAAACACTGTCTAAGTCAGTAAGAATGGCCTGGTTCTGAGCATGCAAAGGGCAGCTTTTGAGTTGCAAATGTGCCATGGGATGTATTAGTCTCAGGAGGACAGCTTCCAGAGTCAGCATTTGGAGGTCAAGGATCATGTCTTCTAATTTCTAGAGCATGTCAAGTTTCCCTCCACCAGCTTGTATGCCTTCTACATCCCATTCTTGTGGATCTGACTAACAAACCATGAAGCTGATGCCATTTGCCTGTCTTGATTGCTAGTGTGTGTGATGTGAACGATTTTTCATGTATGTATTTGCCAAATGACTGGTAGACTTCTAGATTTTTATCAAACAAACAACCAATAGTTACAATAATCTCTGAGCTTTCCTTGTTTGGGTTTATTTTTTTAGTTTTGGGGTTTTTGGGGGAGGGTAGTTGCTTATATGATGGTGTTGTTGTGAGACAAGGTCTCCACATGTAGCCCAGGCTAGCTTTAATTTCCTGATCTTCCTGAGTGTTGGAATTACAGGCACATATCACAAGCCTAGGTCTCCTGTAATATTTTATATTCAGTGAACTAACCTTTCTCCATTAACTCAAAACCTAGCCAGTGTGTGTGTGTGTGTGTGTGTGTTTGTGTGTGTGTGTGTGTGTGTGTGTGTGTGTGTGTGTGTGTGTGTGTGTGTGTTTCTATTTCTGGCAATTTTTTCATTGATCCATTTGTCTATTCCTATGCCTTATGTTTTTTTTTTTTTTACTTTTTTTAAATTTGAATTACAAACAAGACTGAATTACATGACAATCCCAGTTCCCTTCTCCCTCTCTTCCTCCCCTATCACCCCCCCAACTAAAACCCTACCTACCACATATCCTTTCTTCTAATCTACACCTGACTCAACCTTTCTGCTTCCTCATGACCTCTGCATTCCATAGTCTTCACTGTATGTAGTGAGGGCTGCAAATTCCATTATGCATTTCAGAACTGCCAGGATCTTCCTAAGCACTTTCTCTTTCTTAGATAAACTATTAAAAACAAAACAAAACCCTTTGGGTCAGGTTATGGTGGTACACACCCTTAATCTCAGCACTTGGGAGGCAGAGGCAGGCAGGCAGATGTCTGTGAGTTCTAGGTCAGCCTGGTCTACAGAGTGAGTTCCAGAACAGCCAGATACACAGAGAAACTCTGTCTCAAAAGAACAAACAAAAAAACCGTTGGGATTTTTTTCCCCCTTGAAGTGCTGGGGTTTTAATTTAGTGCAGTGGTTTCCAACTTTCCTAATGCTACAACCTTTTGATATAGTTCCTCATTTTGTGGTGACCCCCACAAAATGAGGGGGTCATTTTGCCTTAGGATTTTGCCTATAAAATTTTGCCTATAAAATTACTTTCATTGCTACTTCATAACTGTAATTTTGCTACTGTTATGAATTTTAATATAAGTATCTGATACACTGGATATTTGATATATGACCCCAAGGGAGTCATGATCCATAGGTTGGAAACCACTGATCTAGTATCTTGATCCTGTTAGGCCAGTGCTCTACACTGAGTTTCTGTCCTAGTCCTATTTAGGATTTTTAATTTTCAGCTTAGGGAAAGCAATATCTTTATCACATTGAATCTCACTGCCCACACTTGATTTGTTACTCTGTCATTCTAATCTTTTATGCATTTCAGAAAAAATCATTTAGAAAGCTTGTTGTTGCCTTGGTTAAGTTTATTCTTTGTTGTTTTCACATTTTTGATTTTTGAAAAGGATCTTTTGGGTTTTCATTGTCTTTATCAAAATGTCTTGTGTGTGTGTGTGTGTGTGTGTGTGTGTGTGTGTGTGTGTGTGTGTGTGTTATACCCAGTATTCTTTCTAAACTTTCAAAACACAACTTATGACTTCAGTTTACTTATGTTTATTACTGAATAGGTCACTGCATCTACATGTCAAGTTTTAGGGGTGTTTTAAATTTTTCTTAAGCATTAAGTTATTTTGTACATGTGTGTGGGGACACATGTGCGATGACATATAGGTAAAAGTCAAACAACTTAAGGGGACTCATTACTTTCCTCCCATTACATGGGTTCTGGGATTTGAACATAGGTCATTGGGCCTGGCAGCAATCGCTTTTCCCTGCTGAGCCATCTCACTTGTTCTTGGGGTGTTTTTAAAGTCTGAATCTTAGTCTCTCACAGAAGTAGTGGATGGCCCCAGCAATATGGAAGGCCATATTCAAGCACTTGTTCTCAAGGATCAGCACTTGACTGCAAGCAGAATTACCTTCCTGTCTATAATGGTGACATTCATTTGATGTGATTACACTTTATCCTCAGTAACACAATAGATGATGGGGACACAGTGTTGGAGAAAAATACATCAGTGAAGACAGCAGAGAGCAACCAGTCAAACAAGTCTGAATGAGCTGTGCATCACCACCATTTCTCAACGGGCCAAGTGACCACGTCTAACTGGCACAATGTGCTGTCATCTCAGAAATGCTGAAATGTCAGGAAAATCCCATCCTAAGGCAATAAATTATGATGCTCAGATCAAAGAAAGGCCCACGAGGGAATCAGGTGCTTGGATGGAGGATGACAAGGTGAGGAGAAGAACTCTCTGGTCAGAGGGGTGGCAGAGGTGACAAAGGCCTCCCTTTCAGGCCAGGTGGAGGGAGCAGCAAGTGCAAAGCCCTCTGCAAAGGAACAGCCGTGCAGAGGCAGGTGTAGCTAAGGCTCAGCATCAGCAGGAGAGGACGTGAAGAGGGTTACGGCACAGTTCTTCGAGGGCCCATAGGTCATGGCAAGTTTGCAATTTTAGCCTGTGCATTAGTTTCTTGTGCCCAGGCCACCAAAGCAAACACCATGTGGCTTAAACAACATAAACATATTTTCTCAAAAAATTCGGAGCAGTCTGAAATCGAGTTGTTGTCTGAATTGTTTGCTGGATTATGTCTCTCTGGCTCTGGCTAACTTGTCCCTCTGTGTCTTCTCTCTGTGTGTGTCTTCGTCCTAATCTCTTCTTATGATGACACTGTTGTTTGGATTAGGGCCATCCTAGTGACCTCATTCTAACTTAATCACCTTCTTAAATACCATCACCAGATACAGTTCTGCTCAGGGGTACTGAGGGTCAGGACTTCACATAGGAATTTTAGGGAACACAATGTAACTC